GAGTGCGCTTTCGTCCCATGGAACGGGGAATGTGAATTCTGATTGGCAGAATGTCATCTCCCTCCGAGAGGCTGGCAGATAGATGGCTGAGCCACTTTCCTTTCACAGACAGGGACATGGGACCCAAACCCACAAAACAACTCATGTGATGACCTAACACTTGCTAAGTGCCAAGTCTGCATTCTATAACTAGTGGAGTTCTTAAGAGCAGCAGGGGGTGTCCCAAGCCTGCACCTGCTCCCAGAGGAAGCACGAGAAAGGGGAAGTAATTGAGGAATGAAATGAATGGGGGTGAACACAGCAGTCAAGCGAGCGGTGCTGGTGGCGGTAAGCAACGACCTGGTAGAAATGAACCCCGAAACTACCGGCTTTGCGGCTTCCACAACAGATAATTTCTCAGTCTTGGAAGCTGAGAAGTTCAAGACTGAGGTGTCAGCAGGGTTGATTTCTGAAGCTTCTCCCTTGGCTCGGGCTTGATGGCCACTCTCTCATCTTCACAGTCTTCCCATGTGACTATGTCACAACCCTTCTGAGAAGGATACCAGTCCTGATGGACTAAAACCCACCCTAATGATCACATTTTTTACTAATAACCTCTTTAAAAAATCTTATGTCTGATAAACAGTCACATTCCACCAGAGCTACCGACTTCAGGAATTTGGACACAGTTCAGCCTGTAGCAATCACCTCAGGCTGTATGATTTGGTCTCTCAGCTCTTTCTCGAAGGAAGGGCCTGGGTTGTTTGTACCTTTGCATTACCCCTAACAGAGGTCCATACACATCAATTAAGCAAGCACGTTATATTAAGCAAAAGAGAAAATACATCCAAAAAAGGGTCAGAGTCTTCCATGAGAGGGGCCATGGACCTTTAAGTGCTACTGTTAATATCCCCTTAAAGTCCAGATTGAAGGGGGTTTACTGAAAAGAACTCATATTTCCCTCCTAAAGTCAGGGCCACTTCATGGAACAACAGTTGTGTGCTTGTGAAAGTTTTTTAGCTTCCTTATAAAAAGTCACCTGGAAAAGTCACTGACTCAGCCACCAGAGGGGCTTACCTGAATATGATCATGGAGACTGGAGAGCTGTGAGGACTCCACCCTGGACAGTCTTTATTCGTGTCGCTGCTGAGTAGCCAGTCAATGGACCAGGGTGAAGATGCTGTGCGTGCCCACTCGTGCCCTTGAGCCTTTGCCATCTCTGTGTAGATCTCTAACAACCAGCCTCTAACCTTGTGCCTAAGGCTTTCCCCAGAACCATGGAAGATTAGGATACTTAGAAATCAACCCTGTCCTTGACCCATAAGCAGTCTTCAACCAGCGTTTCTTTGGCTTTCTGGATAGATACATCAGTTCTCTCACCATTCCCATGGGTTGGCTGACCTGTATGCTAGTTAGCAGAGTCTCCCCATGGGCGAGTCTGAGCACATCTGTTGACCCCTGGCAGGTGGTGCACTGGCATCCACCCTATAGGGTGCCCTGCCTTCAGTCTGCCCCAGCCACGGTCCTTGTTCCTCCTAAACAAAACAAACAACTTGCTCTTCAGTTGTTGACTCGGGCACTGCGTGGGATGCAGGGACAGTCCAATCCCAAAGCTCCCTTCAGAGGTGCCTGGCTTCTTTGGTGAACATACGTAATGAAATCCCTTCTCCTTAGATAGCTCCAGAAAGTGATCCAATTCCACATCTGGGGTAGGAATCAGCTTGTTCACATGGGTCAGTTTTACCTCCCCCCTTATCCCAGTGATTTTTAATCCAAGTCCCCAAACCTAATATCAAGGCAAGCAGAGAAGGGCTATCTCACTAAGAACCCCCACGAACAGGGCAGCCCAGTGCCAACATCACAGTTGTTGGGCTTCTGAGTCTCCTCAAGGTCTTCAGACCTCATCCTCTGAGGCCTGGATTCAAGGGAGGTGCTGTCCCAATTTCTACCCACTCCTAGAAGAACCCATGACATTGAGGGTATCAGGTTGGTCAGGCATGCTAACATTCAAGATAATGTAAAGCAATGGTCATATGGGATACAGCCCAATCTGATATAACTGAGGTCGGGACCCTGAAGAAGGAGAGTATTTTTCAGTCTCCTACTTTGTTTCTCCATTGCTGTGACAAAACACTGACCACTACCAACATGGGGAGGAATTATTTTATCTTACATCTCCCGGGTCACAGTTCATCAGGGGGCCCAAGGTAGGAACTCAGGGCAGGAACCTGGAGGCAGAGCTGGAGCACAGGCCATGGAGGATCACTGCTTACAGGCTTGCTTCCCTGGTCTCTGCTCAGCCCGCTTTCTTACACAACACAGGCCCACCTGCCCAGGGGTGGTACCACCCACAGTGGGCTGGGCCCTCCCACATCCTCAACAATCAAGAAGATGCCCCACAGACATGGCCACAAGCTAGTCCAATGGAGGCAATTCCCCAGTTGAGGCTCCCTCCATCCAGGTGTGTCAAGTTGACACTAAAGCTATCCAGCACACAGTCCTAGGAAGGGCTGTGAGCAGGAGATAGTGTGGATCCCTTTTAAACCACCCCAGAGTCAGCCTGCTGCTGGATGGAACTGGCTTCCACAGTTGCTGCTCTCCTGGTATCAATTATTGCAAACTTCTTCTGATAAGACCATTTGTAATGGCACTACCTGAATTCACTGGCATCCAGACCCATACCGCTGGTCGCTTGACACCATCCCCAGAGCAGCATCTTTCTTACCTTGCCACGTACTGAGAATGACAAACACATATCGCTAATTTTTACCATCCTGCATTCAACGCGCAAATAGCTGTCTGAGTGATCCCAGGGGCTTACACTTAACAACAAACGAAAACAAAGGATTTTGGAACTTCTTCTGTTTAGGTCTTAAGGAAACAGGGTGACTAGCAGAGCCTTGAGCGTTCAGTAGATACCTTTGATGCTTTCTGAAAATCCTGACCGCCCAACTCACTTTTTTACTTCTCTCTAAACCACCTCCTGGCCTCTTTCACACCTGACCTTTGTACTTACCTAGTTCCCCAGCATGGAATGCAAACAGAAATACTCCCCAAGGGTAGGCCCCTTATCTTCTCCACACCTGCCAGAGTCATTTCCTCTGGGAAGGGCGTCTGCTCAGAATTGCCCATTTTTCTTTGTTAGCTGCAAGTCGCTTTGATCTACTTATTTCCAGATTTTCCTTCTCCCTAAGCCAAGAGGTCCTGCCCCTGGGATGTCTCAGGGTGACCTTCCTCCTCCCCACACTTCCAGTTCCAAGCAGGTCCACACACCTGGCAGGTTCTCCATAAACACAACACAGATGGGAAGTTGCTCTGTGTCAAACCGTCTTCTAACACAAACTCCCCTGTCACCGCTTCTTTAAGCAATTCTTCTTAGGGAGTTCTCCCCCCTTAGCGAAAAACAGCAACAACTTCCTGTTTCCTTTCAGGAAATTTGAGTTTTCAAGTAACATACAGCTTGGTTTTCTGCTAATAACAATTTTTAAATTTCTGCTGTCATTCAAATGGGATCTATAAGGTAATTGTTAAGGTTCAGATAGCCCTGCCCCCTCACTGACAGGATCCCAAGGACTTGTCATGCTCCTGAGAAAAGGGAACCTAGCTGATAAGCACCTTGGTCTTTGAAGTCAAGAGAAGTAGACTTTTCTCCACTGTTTGGCCAACACAGCAGGCTTCCCCTTTGATCTCTAAAGAGGACAGGTTTTAACAGTCCCACTCTCCCACTCCCCTGCAACTTTAAAAAAAAAAAAAAAAAAAAAAAAAAAAACATCTTCCTGCCTTCTGCAGGAAGAAGAAGCCTCCCTTTAAAAAAGACCCCAGCTCAAGACCCAGGCAGACATTTTCCCTGCCCGGAAGGGAATCTGTCCCATGTGTTCCTTTGCTAATAAACCCTATTTTGATGGAGTTTTAGCTGTGCCTCGGTGCTCATTCTCCGCCAACCTTTTGCCTATCAGTAATAAAATAGTCTGTAAAATTCCTTAGCCAAAAAGATTTACTAGAATTACACATTAAGTAATAGTTGTTTAAAGATTTGTATTCAAACCAGCCAAGATTACTCATATCTGCCATTTTTAATAACAAACAACAACAAAAGTTTACCTCCTTGTAATCGACTGAGATGTCAAATTTCCTCTGTATGAGTTTTGTGACAATATCTGCAGAAAAAGTCACAAAATAGATTTTTCAGTAAAATTATAAAGTGAATATTTGGAATAAAAGCAACCTATAAATACTTATACATTATTATAGGTAGCACCGATTCTTACAATAGTAGTCTTATTTCCTAAGGTAGATAATTAAGTTAATGAGCCTCGGCTAAAAGCTAAAGAGGATAAGCATTTTTTCAATGTATATTTTTACTGATTTTTTGTGGATTTCATACAATACATTTTAATCATATTTAGACCTCCCCTCTCTGCCCCCCCATAGCCCGCCCACAGTATTTCACGCATTCTGTCACACATTTTAAGGCCTATTGAGTCAAGTTTGTATACCCAGCTGTCTCTTGGTATGAGATCCTCCACTGGAGCCTGGTCAGCCTATCTAGAGTCATTCCGTTAAAGAAGACTTCTCCTTCACCCAGCAGTGATCAGCTACCAATATTTAAGAGGGCAGATACTTTTGATTCAGTGGCAGAACTAGAGGGCGGTCAATTTTTTTTTAGCTATTTTTATTTTGTTTATGAGTATTTTGTCTGCATGTATATATGTGCACCACATGAGCACCTGGGGCCCACGGAGGTCAGAAGAGTGTCAGATCCTCTGGAACTGGAGTTATATAAGATTTTAAGCCATCATATCGGTACTGGGAACTGAACCCAAGTCCTCAGCAAAAGCAGCAAGTACTGTGAACAAATAAATGCTAAAATATTCTCCAGTTTGTGAACAAATAAATGCTAAAATATTCTCCAGTTTGTGAACAAATAAATGCTAAAATATTCTCGTTTGTGAATAAATAAATGCTAAAATATTCTCCAGTTTAACTTCAGATATGGTCAAGTATGAATGGACACAAACAAGAACTTCTTTGGGACCCTGAAACTATTAGGAGTTAAACGGGTATTTGAGAACCAAAGTTGTAAGAGCTTCTGGATTGAGTCAGGTTGCACATCCCAAACCCTACGCCCAGTAGCACTTGCTTCAGGGCTCAGTTCATCTACCTTTAACCAGCAAGCTGACCCAAGCCTTGGCTTTTTGAGGGAGAAATAGTCCCTGACACTGGCTCCTCCCTGTCTCTGGTGGTGAAGGATGAAGGTTTCAAGTCACAGCCACAATCCACCAAATTCAAGGCAAGACACTGAGAATAAGGGCACCACCTGCGAACTGTGCCAAATGGGACCATGAGCGATGGACTGTGAATGGGCATCTTTCTAGAATGCCCATGCTGGGGAAGAGGCCAGGGTTCAAACTGTAGCCTAGAAGGGGCAGGAAGCAAGGACAGCTGCTCACATCTTCAAGATATTTTTGTTCCCTAACTGGCTTTGTTTAATACATACATCGGTTCTGCCTCAAGCTGGGCCCAGTGACGCTCCCCTGTACAGTTACGTCAGATTTAAGCTGCGCTTCAGTGCCCTGAGATTTTGCTGGCAGAATTTGTAAGCTGGCACTCCTTGGCCCTTGTGTTTGCTTGGAAACAAGACTGAGAGCGTAGGAGTGTGGCATGTCTCTGCCGAGGCTGAGGACCCTATTGAACACACACTGTTCTAAGCTAAGAACTTCAGTATTAACTTGTGTGTTAAATTACCACTGATCAAAAGGCAAGACCTTATTTTATTTTACTGTATCCATTTTATAAAAAGAATGAGATGATATTCAGGTTCAACGTAGAAACTTGCAAATACTAGATTTATAAAAGTGTAATTTTAGTAAATTCAATATTATTTAAAACACACCTGTAATTTGCTTCTTTACCCACAAAAGGTTTTCCACAGCACTTGGGAATAAATTCAACAATTTGTTCCTGTCTAGACCAAATTCCAGAGAAGACAAGGGCAGATAGGCAAATCAAGAACACCTGAGGCCAGACACAAATCTATGCAGTTCAAAAGTTAACAGTCTTCATAACACAGGCCTCTAATTCCAGCTGCTAGGGAAACTGAGGCAGGAGAATCACAAGCTCAGGTTCTTCCTGGACTACACTGCAAATTCAAAGCTAGCTTGGGAAAAGTTCTGAGTCCCTGTCTCAAAGTAAAAAATTTCAAAGGAGCTGGGGATAGGGCTCAGTGATGGAACATTTGCCTAACCTATGCAAGGCTGTGGGTTCAATAATACCCAGTACTGCGGTGGGGGGGGGGGTAGTTAGCTTCCTGGACACACTACCAAAGTATAGAGGAGGAAGTCCAAGAGGTATTTTGCCCAAGAAACAGGCTGAGCACAGAGACACACTACCAAAGTATAGAGGAGGAAGGCCAAGAGGTATTTTGCCCAAGAAACAGGCTGAGCACAGAGCCTGGTGTAGGACACACTACACCCCCATCTGTCACCTCTGCTCTGACACTATTATCGGCACTCTATTCTCTCTTCCACTGGTTCCTCAGTGAGTGACATAGAGCATGATGAGCTCTCAGCTGCATCGCGGTGGTCATGCATCGCCTCTTCTCTCTTGGCCCACAGCTTGACTCTGTCCCCTGGGGTCCCTTTGCCATTTGGTGGTATCTGTTGTGGCCAACAGAACGTGAATGAACGTGTACATATATGCATGCTATTTCCAGACCTGGTGTCTAAAAGCTCCCACAGGCACTTCCGTCCTTCCTACAGTCTCCATTACTCTGGACTCCATGGAAACTTCTGAACGCTGAAGGCACGGCAGAGCCACAGGTGGACAGGGCTGAATAGCCAAAGCACGGCTCTCCCCTCCTCCTTCTACACTGGACTTGAGCCGTAGGACAGAAATGATTTTTACTGAGCCCCGCAATGATGGCTCATGCCTGTAATCATAGCACTTGAGAGGCCGAGGCAGTAAGACTAAGGTCAGCCTGGGTTTAAGAGTGAAACTTGGCAGGGCATGGTGATGCATGCCTTTAACCCTAGCACCTCAGGAAGCAGAGGCAGGCAGGTCTCTGTGAGTTTAAGACCAGCCTGGTCTACACAGTCAGTTCCAGGCCAGCTGGGACTACAGGGATAAAAAAAAAAAAAAAAAAAAAAAAAAAAAAAAAAAAAAAAAAAAAAAATGCAACTGTCTCAGAAAGGGGGTGGGGGGCAAAATGGCTCAGTGGGCAAAGGTGCTTGCTGCCAAGGTTAAATACCCAAGATTGATACCTGGGAACCACCTAGTAAAAGAAGAAAACCAATTCCCCCAAGTTATCTTCTGATGTCTAAATGCCATGGTATGTGCATATACACACACCCGCACATGTACACACACAAAATGTAATTCAAATATTTATTTATTTATTTATTTACTTACTTATTTACTTATTGTGTATGAGTGTTTTGCCTACGTGTATGTAAGTGCACTCGTAGAATGCTCATGGAGGCCAAAAGGGGAGGACACTGGAAACCCTGGAACTGGAGTTAATGATGGTTGTTAGCTACCATGTGGGTGCTGGGAACCAAATCCAGTTTCTCTACAAGAGCAGCCAGTGCTCTTAACTACAGAGACATCTTTCCAGACCCATAAATGTAGTTTTAAGGAGACCAAACTCTCCCCAAATCACAGAAATTAGGCCTTATTTGCTACGGCAAATGATAAATGATGTAACTAGCCTAACTAAAACAAGCTGCCCCCAGTGAAGACCCTTTCTTGCAGTATGCTTCCTGCCACAGTATAAATATCTGTCCCCTTCAAAATTCGTGTTGAGGGGCTAGAGAGATGGATCAGCAGTTAAGAGCACTTGCTGCTCTTGCAGAGGACCCAGGTCTGTGTTTGGTTCCTAATACCAACATGGGGGTTCACAATCACCTCATAACTCTAGTTCTAGGGCACCTGATGCTCTCTTCTGGCCTCCATGGCACCAGGCATGCATGTAGTACACATGTATGTACTTAGAGTAATCCCACAAGGTCAAATACACATATAAAACTTTTTTTTAATTGTGTTGAAATTTAATCTGTATTGTGAGATAGTAAGAAGAGAGACCTTTAAGAAGTGATCGGCCTTCTGCTGTCCTCCTTACTATTGATACATCATCGTGAGGGTGAGCCCACTGTAAGTGCCAGTCTGGTGATGCCTCAAGCACACTACCTGTGTCTTGCCAAGTGACGCCCTTGCCTCGCCTCCATAGTCTGTCATCAGGTAGGCCACCACCAACCAGGCAACTACATTAACTTCTCTTCTTTGTAAGTTACCAGACTGTGGTACTGTGTTAGTTGCAATAGGAAACACTCTCTGATGTTCTGACCAAGCACGGAATGCAGAAAAAAACCCTTTTCTCTTGGGAAATGGTATATGCAGATGTGTCACATGCAGAGGCTTTGGTGATGCCAACAGATCAACACAAATGTAAACTAAGACTTCAAAGGACATCTTTATTCAAGGTCTGAACTGACACAGTCATAAAAGAGAACACATGAAAAGCCACTGAAACCTGTAAAAATCACATTAAAGTACAGTGTAGCTCAAATAAAACATTCTTCCTGCCTGCTTCCCATCCCCATGTCTACAAAGATCTGAGAGCCTCCCTTGGGCCTCACATATGTGCATAAGCCTTCAAAAGCTTTACCATGGACTGGATTTTCCTGTTCTACAAAACACATGCTTATAACCAGTATAAACCACTCATTCCAGGATGTGTGCACCACCTCAATATTTAACAGTATTATTCATTCTGGGAAGCATGCACCAGATGGTGGTTGAGGCCAACGTGATTTCAGTATCATCCCCAAGAGTTGTGTGTACAAAATGATTCATAGGATGGGCTGTGAGCCCCAGCTCTAGAATCCACATAGCTCTTTCTGAAGGAGGATGCAAGTAGAAATCAAGACACAGAGCCAGTTAGTACAAACTGGTGACTTATGCATAGCCACCAGCACTCCCCACAGAGCACTTCCCCTGGGGAAAGGACCTTAAACTGCAAACAGAAGTAACTACATTTCTTTCTGGTTTTCCCTCCATCCTAGCAAGTAGGATCTGGGTTTATGTTTCTTTATGCTCTTCTTCATTCAGAACTGTAAGATGGAAACTTCTCTCAACAAGAAGATATCTCATTAAACAAATT